GCCAGGGTGCCTCAGTGTGTCAGTGTGAGACGCTGACAGCTGGGCGGGCTGTTCTGGTAGGTTCCTCACGTGCTCCTACTGCTCAGTACCTGCACCGATGGGAATGGTTCAGTGTTTGGGTGACGTCTCTGCATAGCGTCGCTATTACATTGTGCTGATTGTCGATGCTGTTGTCAGAGGTCGCTGTGCTCACCAGAGAGAGAGAGAGAGCACATCCCTCCGTCGGGTACGATCACACTGCCATCCCTCACCTCCATCTCTCCTTCCCGGCAGAACCTGGGTACGTGTGCACAGCCCAGTGTGTTCCCCAAGTCACTGAGGCTGGGATCCAACTGCAGCTGGTCACGTGGGATTTGCCTCCCAGTACACAGCACTTAACTGCTGTGCTACAGGGCCAGCCCTGTGCTGAATTTTACGTATTATACAGTCCCTTCTCCACTCCTCTCGGCAGTCCCCAAATTTTTAATTAAATGATCTTTGTTCTATTTAGATGACAATTTTATCATACCATAATATACAAATAATGTGATGATTACATTATATATAATATATTGCATATATACAATATATAAACATATATACACACATTGTGTATATATACAAATACACACTCTATTATTACATCTAACTCATATATACAATATATGAACACATATACACACACATTGTATAGATACATAAATACACTCTATTATTACATCATAAAATAATAGTGACCACTGTTAACTGTACCTGTCAAGAATTGTTAGAAGCACCTTATTAATGGCAGTGCTCCTTCTTCACTATTTTATGAAGTTGATAACCTCATTACAACACTTGTGGGAAATGAGCAGTTGGCGTAATGGCTATGTCACTGGACTCCCATGTAGCCGACCATGGCTTGCGTCCTGGACCCGGTGGCTTAAAACTCACACTGGGCTCGTGTGCGTGCGTGCCCAAGATCCTGAGAAGAGAATGGAGGAGAAGGGATTGTGGTGTGGCCATCCTCCAGGGGGGTGATTTCTCGCTTTCTGTCTCTCTATCTCTCTCTGTCATTCTGATGAGCACACGTGCCCTATAGCAAAAATCTCTCTCAAAAAAAAAAAAAACAAAAAAAAACTTGAGGGATAATAAAGTGAAGAACTTGTTTTTAAAGCTATGCTTTCAGTTAAGTGACAAAGTCGAAATGAGAACTTTGGATGTAAAGCCATCTAGAGAGAAGTGCTCTTCCCCTGTAGTTCACCCTCTTAACCACTGAGCCCTTCTCTACCAAATGCCCACGGGTAATTTGGTCACAAGCATTGACTTATCAGTCTGTTTTAGTCTTTTCATTTATATGACTTACCGTATTGTTTTAATATTCAGTAGTTCTAACTTTCTCCTATTACTCATCTTTTTCAGAAGACGTTTTAGTTACTGTTGAAAGTGTTCTCTATGAAATTTAGAATTACTTTGTCCTGTATTCCCCGGAGACCCTCAGCCCTAAGCAGCCAATGATCTGACTTCTGTTTGTCAAGTTTTACGTTTCCAGTTTCTTCTGTAAATGGACTACACTGTAGTAGCTATTTGTGTCTGGTTTCTATTATCCTGCGTGGTTTTTAGGTTGATTCCTGTTGTTAACTGAATCAAAAGTTTTATTGCCAACTTCTCTCATCTGTCGTAATTTCGCAGCTAAAGCCCTCGGATTTTTCACATATTTTGAGTTTTACCATATATTCTGTAAATAATTGTAATTTAAACCCTTCCTTTCTGATATTTATACCTGCTGCCCTCTTTGGATTAAATGTGACTTCTGTGTTTTCAGAATAATATTCAGTGATAGTGGTAATAGCACATCGTAGTCTTGTTGCTAATTTTCATGAATATAATTCCAATTTGCCTCTTCAAGCATGGTACTGGCTTTTGAGGTGCAGAAGATTTTATTTTATTTTATTTTTTTTTTGAGAGGTTTTCGCTATAGGGCGCGTGCACTCGCCAGACAGACAGAAACATAGAGACAGAAAGTGAGAAGTCACCCCCCAGGGGGGATGGTCACGCCGCAATCCCTTCTCCTCCATTCTCCTCTCGGGATCTTGGACACGCACGCACTCGCGCCCAGCGTGAGTTTTAAGCCACTGGGTCAGGGACGTGAACCGCGGTCGACTACGTGGGAGTCCAGCGACATAGCCATTACGCTAACTGCTGGTTCCCACTTTATACTATTTTGGGATATGCTAATAACTAAAGAATAAATAAATGCTTTTGATTGTTTGACTTTGAAAAAGACATACATATTTATATCTTCAGTATCCAGGAACATACAAGCAAGGAACAAGTCAACTGACTATATTAAATATCCTTCTATGAGATATTTCAACACTATAATTAGGAAGAATTGCTTTTAGAGTCTTATCATGTTAAATTTTCCCCTATGACATTAAAATATACAAGTACAAATGACTGCTGAAATTGGCTTAGGGTAGATTTTAATAAATGTAACCTTCGAGAAGCACTTTGTGTTCTACTTTTTTTCGCTAACTGCTGGTTCCCGAGAAGATTTTTTTTTTTAAATTATTTTTTCAGTTAAACGTAGAAAGTAAGATGGAAATATAAAACCAGATGTCACAGAGGAAGCAGATATCACAGGAATAACAGCTGCAGAGCCACCAAGGGGTGCTTCAAAGCATAACGAGAAACAAGATACTTAGATAATCTGAAACTATTCTCCAGATGCTAAATAATTTTAGAATGATAAAGAGTAACTTTAAAGGAGAGAAATCTGGCAGGTACAACTTTCGGCAAGTGGTCAAAGCCAGCTGCATCAGTATCTAGACACCTTGCCGTCAGATATCACCTGAAATGATACGCCACCAACGGCACACCCACCCCTTCTGTGGTGTTCTTGCCAAAACACGAATGACATCGAAAGGCATTCAGACTAGACATTCTGTAAAACGACTGGCAAATTCCCAAATGCTTTTATTGAAGAGTATCAAAGCCATGAACCTCAAAAGTCGCCTGTGTAACTGTCTCAACTTGGAGGAGACTGAGGGGATGCTGTTTTGGATCCTAGATGAGAAAGAGAACATTAGGGTGTGAAATGACGACATCTGAGGAATACCCGCAGATTGGTTAATAGTATTGTAAGTTTGAATTTCTTGGAATTAATGATTATGCAGAGTATCACATATGTGTTAGGGGAAGCTGGACAAAGGGTATGCAGGAACTCTGTACTATGTTTGCAACTCTTCTAAACATGTTAAAAAGGGCCAGCAGATGGCAGAGTGGTTATGTCATTGGCCTCCCACCTGGCTGACCGCGGTTTGGGTCCCAGACCCAGAGGTTGAAACTCACCCTGGGATGTGCGCATACATGCCCAAGGTCCTGGGAGGAGAATGAAGGAGAAGAGACTGTGGCATGGCGGTCCCCCTTGGGGAGTGGTTTCTCACTTTCCCCGCTGACTGTCTCTGTCTCTCTCTCTCTCCAGCAAGCACCCTAAGGCAAAACCCTCTTTTAAAAAAAGCTACATAAAACAAGCAACTAATTAACCACAAAACGGAAGTTCTATATTGTAGGGTCTACTCCTCTTGTTCGGACTATGTGTTTTTATTTACAGACAATCGAGTTTATTGCAGCGAGGTTATGTAGAGTGGAATATTTTGTAAGTTATTAGATTAGATTTTCTGGGAGGGCTAGGAAACTGAGCAGGGACAGGCCATAGCAGGACTAGTAACTAGGAGAACCAACCCAAACGCCCCAGGGCACTGTTTTAGTAAAACTGTGGCTGTCCTGTCCTTGTGCTGCTTGGTACTGACGATGCAAAGAATTGTACGCTAAACTCTCTGCCAGAACTTTCCTAGAAGAACCAAATGTCTTCAGCATCGTGTTTGCCAGGAGTTCTTGTCTCTCGGTTTAGATCCTGGTCCTTGTGTTGTTCATTTCCATCCTCAGTCTCATGCCACTTTCAGTTTTTGGCAGAGCTTGGCACACGTGTCAGTCTCTGTCTGCCAGGCATTTTATTTGTATTTCTGGTTCCGAACCTTCCTGCTTTCCTGGAGTAGATGATACTTGCTCGTATCTGCATTTTTTTAGGAGCTCTTGCATTGTGTTTGGTAAAGTTCATTTTCATCTACTTCTCACCTACCTTTGGTTTAGGAATGCATAATGAAAAACTGACAAGTGTTCAAGAAGAAAAAAGTATAGGTGAATCATGTGTGCGACGACAGATCTTTTGAAAACCTAGTATTGGCTGTGTCATTGGACTCCTATGTAGTCGATTCTGGTTCGAGTCCTGGACCCAGTGGCTTAAAACTCATGTTGAGCGTGCCCAGAATCCCAGGAGAAGAATGGAGGAGAAGGGAATGCGGCATTGTCACCCTCCCTCCCGGGTTGATTTCTCTCTTTCTGTCTCTGTCTCTCTCCAGTAAATGCATGTATCCTATAGCAAAAATCTCTCTTTCTCTCTCTCTCTAAAACAAAAAAACAATTATAGAGCTGATTTCGATTTTTATTAGCAATAGGATAGTAGGTAGCGATTTACCTAAGGCAACCTATATTTGTTTTTGTTGAAAAAATATTTTAATTTTTATATTGAAAGTGTTACTTGACTTTGTGCTATTTAAATTTGAAAATTTCTTTAGGAACTTTAATTAATTAATTACTTTAGTTAAGGTTTTGCCATAGCATGTATGTTCTCGTAGGGGATGGGGGCAGAGTGAGAAATAACCTCCCCAGGGGCGATGGCCATACTGAAATTCTTTCTCTTCCATTTTCCTCTTGGGATTTTGGGCATGCATATACACTCGCCTGATGTGATTTTCAAGCCACTGGGCCTGGGGCTTGAACCATGATTGGCCATGCTACCTGTTGGCCCCAGGGCTGTATGTTTCTAAAAAAAAAAAAAATGAGCCTTGTATTGTTGTGGTAGGTAGGGAAGACTGTGTATGAGTAGTTTGTTGCTAATCTAAAGTTTAGATGCCACCCTGATCTCAAAGGAGCACTAATACCCTGGATGTGTTTTTTTTTTTTTTCCCCATTGAAAGCTGGTAGGAGGACAGTTTGATTTGGAAATGAACTTCATTATCCAAGAGGGTGAGAGTATCACCTGCATGGTAGAGCTCCTGGAAAAATGCGACGTTACCTGCCAAGCAGAAGTCTGGAGCATGTTCACAGCCATCCTCAAGAAAAGCATACGGAATCTTCAAGTCTGCACGGAAGTAGGCCTTGTCGAAAAGGTGCTTGGGAAGATTGAACAGGCCGACAATATGATAGCAGGTATGACTGCTTTCTGTAGGACGAGGTATGCCAAGAAATGAAGTCCAGTGATTAAATAACTGTTTTATTTTTTCATTTAGCAACATTTATTTAACAACTATTAGAGCATGCATCAACTACAAAACTTTAGTATCTGAACCCATAATAGGCACCATAAATACTGTATATTTTAAATCTTCAAGAAATAGAAGTGGCTTAATTATTTTATTGTTTTCCTTTGTTTCAGATCTTTTAGTTGACATGTTGGGCGTGCTGGCTAGCTATAATTTGACAGTTCGAGAACTAAAGCTGTTCTTCAGTAAACTTCAAGGAGATAAAGGACAGTGGGTAAATAAAATCTTAACACTTGTTGATATTTGAAAGTGAACTCCTCCCTAAACGCATTAGTAGCTTATAGGTAACTGATATTATTTATGGAGTAAACCTCAAATTGAGGAGGAAAGAGGAATTAAAATAACACTAAAGTTGGGACTGGCAGGTGGTGTGGTGGTTAAGGTGCTGGACTCCCATATGGCCAACCACAGTTTGAGTCCTGGACCTGATGGCTTGCTTTCTCACTTTTCTTCTCTCTCCCTCCCTGTCTCTGGTCAAAGTGAAAAAGTAATAAATAAATAAATAAAATAAAATAAATAATTAAAAAAATAACATTAAGGTCTATATAGCTATTTTTGCTATGCCTAGGGCATGGGTGTGGACTAAGAAATGGGTCTTCTAGGTAGGCTAATAATTTGGTCTTTCCTCAGTTGTTAATTCTTTAAATATACATTCAGCATTTATTAGGGAAAAAAAGGTAAGGACCAAGAAAGAGTTAGCTAGGAGCCCATAGCTTTTCTTTCATTGATCTGAGTTACCTGCGGCCCTTAAACTTGAATAACCCATTAAGCAAAAAGGAGTCTGCTGTTAATGGTAACTACTCTCCTTAAATGTAGTTTGGCAGTCCTTTGCAGTAGGTGATGGGGATTGTGTACTTATTTTGAAATCGAGTGCCTTACCAGACTGCTTTGTTGTACATTAGAGGAATACTAGTAAATATTTTCTCCATTCTGTTGGGTGTCCTGGTTTATGTTAGTGCCCTTTAGAGAGCATTGCTCACAGCGGCTGCTGTTATCTGATCCTTAGCCTACCTCTAATTAAGTGTATCCAGATTTATGACTTATAATTACTCTAATTCATTAAAGTTTAGACTCTTTAGCTTCTTTGTATCAAACTCCAGCCTTCTGGCTGCTTTTCAGGTTTTCATGTCTGGTTTTCATTTAGGTAGGTTTTGTTACTCGTATGGTTTATCCTGTGTTTATGTTTATTAGAGTTCATGTATCTGTGCATAGTTTATAATATAATTTTCATCAAATTTGGAGCTTTCATTTGTTATTTCTCAAATATCATTTTCTTGTTTTCCCCCGTCCCCATTTTTTTTTCCGGGACTCCAATTACAGGTTTGTTAGACCTCTTGTTAGAATTCTGCAGATCACTGAAAATTGTTCACTCCCCCCCGCCCCCCCAGATTTTTCTCTTTGCTCTTCATTTTTGATGGCTTTTTTTTTTTTTTCTTTGAGAGGTTTTGTTATAGGGCGCATGCACTCGCCAGGAAGACAAAGACAGACAGAC